GCATGGATAACTGGACAACCCAATATTTCATCAAGATTTTGGAAATTTTTTGCAAAATATCTCGCGTTTCTATTTCGTTCCGTAGATTTTGAAAACAGATTCAGATTCTCTGTGAAAAACTCTACATTTGTAATCACATCAAAAGTGAAAACTCAATAACTTTCATCTTAACTTTTAGCTTTTCAACCAAAACTGTTCGATAAACGCGTTTCTCTTTTTAAAGCTAGAAATTAGACTCACTATTATGGATGAATAGTAAAAATTGCTAAAGAATAAAGTTCAAAGAATGGTCTAGGCTTCACTTTGAAAGGCCCGGTAAAAGTAGTTCTTTTTTGGAAAAAAGACAACCAATAGTCTAGCCGGCGGGATTGATCTCCCGACTAAGATACAAGGCTCTCAGCCAGTCGGCCATCGGGGAGCGTTCGCCGAGTGGAAATCGGTTACTTATACCCCTCATTCACACTTTATTTACTTATGGTTTATCGCTAAAATTAAAGAGTTTTCGAAATTTCACCATTTCCAGTCGTATTTCGACCCGATCACCACCGACAATCAGGGCTCGTTCCAATGTTGGATGTCCGCCGCGTTGATGAAATATTTTCAAAAGGTTTGTGAGAAGAATCAGATCAAAAATGATCTATGATAGATCATTTTTGCAATTTTTGAAAAACCGAGAAAAAAAAGTTTTTTTTGGAAAAAACTATAAGAGGATGCCACGCCGAGGGGAAACAAAAGCAGTGGCGGCCTAGAGGGTAGCGTGCTATCAAAATTGCCTGCAAAAGCTGGCAATTTTGATTCTCGCTCGCGGGTTCAATTCCGTTTGCCGCTAGATTTTTTCCTTTTTTTAGAAAACTTTTGAAAAACACTTGTTTATGATTTATTTAAACTTTAAGACAGCACAATCTTGCTCGTCAATGAATTTCAAAAGCCCGTTTTAGAGCCACGTCCGTGACGCGATCCATGTGCCGGAGTTTGTTCAAGGATGGCAATTTTGCACGTGGGTTTCAAAATGAGTGGCTTGAAAATTGAGAAAACAATAGAATTTAATCGAATTTAGTCTAATAGTCTAAACTTAAATCATTAAATAAGAACAAAAAGGAATAATTAAGAAATCTTTTCGGTTTTTGAAGCGCTTCTTTTGAAAGAAGACTTTCTAAAAGGTTACCGAAATGGGGAGTGGGACAAATGCGACCTTTTTTTGCGCACCCGGACATTTGCGCACCTTTTTTTTCCGCACCTTGCCCATTAGCGCACCTTTTTTCGCGTTTTAAAAAAGCTCTAAAAAGCTAATATTAACCAATTTCTATTCCAAATGTTTTTTCTTGTTTCTAGTTGTTTTTCTAGATAATTTTAGGGCGTAGAATCGAAATTTTGACATGTCAGAGCTTGTGGAAACAAACGGACGGAGTTATACAAAGAGAAAAATCAATTTTCTGTAATTTGATCTAGCCGTTTTGTCTTTCAAATTGGTTCCACACGCTCTGTTATGTCAAAATTTGAATTCTACGCCCTAAAATTACCTAGAAAAACAACTTTTGGAATAGAAATTCGTTAATATTAGCTTTTTAGAGCTTTTTTAAAACGCGAAAAAGGGTGCGCTAATGGGCAAGGTGCGGAAAAGAAGGTGGGTAAATGTCCGGGTGCGCAAATGTCCGGGTGCGCAAAAAAAGGTCGCATTTGTCCCACTCCCCCCGAAATGTATAAAGCCTTATAGAATCCTAAAAAAAAGTTCAATTCACACTTTAAACCTTAAACTTTAGTGATTTCGGCGGTCATGACTATAATTTGCAATACAATGACACGAGTGAGGTCTTTCAGAAAATATTCAACAGTGGATATCCGTTGAGGTGAAACTTTGAGAGATTTACAAATATTCAGCTGAATATTTTTTTGATCTGTCTTCGCACTTAGGGGTTCCTATTTGCGCAGCTCACAACCTGCTTCCACATTTCTCTATCCATTGCTATTGTCATCCAGTGTTTCCTATCTTGGTTGTTCCTGGTTCGAAGTCTTCGACTTGCTTGTGCTGGTGGTGGTTGCACTCTAGCCATCCTTTCTCTGACCGTCTCTGCCACTCTTGTGCTCCACCTCGTTGCTGGTCTTCCGATGGGCCTCTTCTGGTCTCGTGGTAGCCACTCTGTGATCCGTATCGTCCATCTGTCGTCTGTTCTTCTGGCTACGTGGCCGGCCCATCTGAGTCTTTTTCTCTCGATCAATTCCACTGGATCTCTGAGTCCCGAGAGCTGGCGCATATCCGTACTTCTTAGGTCTTGGTCGAGCTGCGTCTTCCTATTGTACCCGAGGAGGTTCCTTTCAAGGGTCCGATGTGTGGTTCTCAGGGCTCGTTCGGTGGTCTGTGTCGTGGCCCAGGTCTCTGTCCCGTAGCAGAGTGCCAGGAGGACAGTGCTGTCGAAGAGGTGTGCCCGAGTCCTCTGGTGATTCTTGAGTATCTTTGTGACTTCTTTGATACTTCCATACTTCCAAGTGCTGTCCAGGCCGCTCGTCTTCTTCTGACGACTTCTGGTCTTAGGTCTCTCTCCATGTTGATGCTTCTTCCGAGGTAGGTGTAGGAGGTGACTTCTTCTAGTGGTTGACCTTCCAGCTTGGTCGCTCCAGGTGGGCACCATGCGTTCCTCATGCTGAGTCTTTTTCTTGTTGATCTCAAGGTCAATCTTCTTGCTGGCTCGGTCGAGGTCTTCTAGCATCCGTTGGGCTTCTTCTGGTGTCTTGGAGCAGAGCACGATGTTGTCTACGAAGCGTAGGTTGGTGATGCTCCTGCCGTCTACCGGGATGTCTTCCCACTCGAGGTCTTTCATGGCATACTGGAGAACCGTGGTGAAGAGCTTGGGCGAGATGGTGTCTCCTTGGCGAACCCCGCGCTTGATCGGGATGTGGACTTCCCTCTCGAACATCTTGATGGTGGTGGTAGCCTCCGTGTAGCAGTCTTGTATGGCGTGGATATATCCGAGGTCAATCCCTGCGTCGAGGAGGGCTTGTGTCACTGCGCCGTGTTCCACTGAGTCGAATGCCTTCTTGTAGTCGACGAACACCAGGTGGTGAAAAGCTTGAGCGATGTGCCCGAGTCCTCTGGTGATTCTTGAGTATCTTTGTGACTTCTTTGATGCTTCCTAGTCAGCTGAATATCTCTTATCTAAAAGTTAAAATTCGATTGAACATTGAGAAATTCGACTTTCTAGACTCGTTTTCTATAACGGTGATGTGGACACCGAATGCTCGATGTTTCAAGCTGAATACTTCATCGAGGCCTTCACTTCGATCAACAAATTCAATGTCAGAGATTTTAAAGATTCAGCTTTTCAACTGAATATCTGTTATCACCAAAGAAATTGCTTTTCAGACAACCTACAAACGAAAAGAATGGCTTTACAATCTCGGTGATCAATATCAGCAAACGATCGCCGGATACACGAAAAGATTCGAGACGGCAAAGATGAAAATCGATCTGTTGACGGTTAAGGTTGGGAATGTTTGCTAAATTTTTCGAAAATTTCAAACCAAGTTCCCTCACCTAAAAAACCGTTTGAAAAGTGCGCGTTTCAAGTTAAACACCTTGAGAGATTGTGGCACATTTCATACCCTCGTTCCTTTGCCCTTAGTAATCCAACTTTGAGCTCAAACTTCTGGGTGTTGGGCTGTCAAAAATTATAAATTATTTATCATTAGATGTGCCAAGTCTTTCTCTATCGATTGGTATAAAAACTATTTAAATTGAACCGCCCAAAACCGAGATATTTGAGCTTAAAGTTAGATTGTTAATGGCAAAAGGGGCGGGGTGACGAACCTTTTATACGCGCCTCGCCCCTTTGCCATTGGCAATCTAACTTTGAACTCAAATTTCTTGTTATTGGGTTGTCCAATTTAAATGGTTTTTATATCAATCAATAGAGAAAGACTTGACGCATCTAATGATACCAATAATTTATAAATTGAACAGCCCAACACCAAGAAATTTGAGCTCAAAGTTGGATTACTAATGGCAAATGTTTGATGGCCGTCTTGAAATGCTGAATTGAAAGTTTAATGATCAAAAATTCAAAAAGAAAAGAGAAAAGAGAAAAATAAAGTTTTTATAGAAATTCTGACTTATTTTCCGTTATATTTTCTATTAAAGAAAAGAATTCTCCAAAAATTTCCAGGGTTCCGGCCACAATGTGCCTATGGATCGACCCGGACCCGCGCTACAGGTTTTATAAAGAAAATGAAATCATAAATTCTTTGTTTTTACAAAATAACAAAACTAATTAACTTAATATTTCGAAAATTAAAGAAAATATTGAAAAAAACTCTTTCTACCTTTCGATTATGAATGAGCTGTCACCACAACTGTAGGACAAATAAATCATTTTTTCTACAGTTGTGGTGACAGCTAAGTCTTTGTGGTGACAGCTAGCTTTCAATTATCTGCTTGTTTTCCTTTTTATAACTGTAGATTTATCAACAAACTTATCAAATAGAAGAAAGAGAATAGCATTTTCTGATAGATTTAATCATTCATTCAATCATTCATTCAATCATTCATTCATTCATTCATTTCAAGGTTTTATACAATTTCCTGAAGGACGATCTGACGTACAACTCCCTTGTCCCCTTTTCACTCGTCCGTCAACCCCTTCTCCAACAATTTATGGTATTATTTTTAAGAAAATATTTCCCAAAATTCAAGAAATCTTTTTTGGAGAGCTTGATTTGAGAATTAAATGCTAGAAATTGCCCATTAAAGTCTGCTTGGATAGAGGGGTGCGGAAATTCTGATAAAACGTTTGAAAGGGGCTTATCTTGCGACATTTCTCACATAATGGGTTAGAAGAATTGTGGTGCGAATTTGGGAATTTTTCGATTTTAGCAGAATCAACAAAAAAAATTGAGTGAAGTTTTTTTTTTCAAAAGCAGGTTTTTTTGTAAAAAATCCTTGACTACTCTGTTGAAGTTTTGGGGAAAAATCAGTGAATTCAAGCTTTCAAATTTGCCCCCTTCGTCTAGCAAATAGAAAATAAAAATCGATTCTGTTAATCTCGAAAATTTACAACTCGAAAGATATCAAAACTGTGACCAATTCTCAATAAAACCAAATTATCGGCAGCTACTGGGTGTAGTACTGGTTACGGCAGTTACTGGGTGTAGTACTGGTTACGGCAGCTACTGGGTGCTATTTTTGAATGAGTTTTATGTAGAAATGACTAAAGTAAATCGCTTTATCAATCATTTATCAGGTATTGAAAGCTGAAAACAGCTTTATGAGATCATTTCGACCTTGAGTATTTCGACTAGTTTAGCTTTGGAGGCATGTGCAATTTATAGCAAAAATACAGCCAATCTAGGGGAAAAATTTATCCCACGGAATTTGAGCATAGTGACGCCGAAACGGAAAAGGAAGCCCCCGCAATCGCTCATCGTTCCTTCATCTTGACCGAATCCAAAAGGAAACACCTATCTATCGGGCGCATGTCCCAGGTTGCGAGCGGTTACATGCGCGCACAAAGAACACCTCGCCAGTCATTTACAGAGATTTCTCTTTTGCTTTGTAGATGATACAAAAAGATATTCAGCTATAAATACAAATTAATGACTTGCGTGGGTTCTTTGTGCGCGCACGTAACCGCTCGCAACCTGGGACATGCGCCAGATAGATAGGTGTTCCCTTGGGGTTCGGATCGATCGATTCGAACCCCAAGGGTTCGAACCCAAGCAGATCGATCGATTCGAAGCAGATCGATCGATTCGAAGCAGATCGATCGATTCGAAGCAGATCGATCGATTCAATTTCAATTCAATTCAATCGATCGATTCAAAAGCAAATTTCTGGAGAGGAGATCGACCTTTTGCTTTCCGGGTTTCCGGCTCTAACCACTGAGCTATCCGGTACCTTAACTCCTCAAGTGAAAGAAGGAAACATAAGAAGGGAGAAGCTAAAGTGATATCACATTTTATATCGTTTTATTTTTAGGAGCAAGGCGATGGCCCACTCGCCACAAGCAACCCATCAACGAACATGACATCAACAAGTGCAGTGACAAATACCTCAACTGCAACAACATCAACAAATCCAATGAATTCAACCACAACACCCACAACAACACCCCCAACCACAACCACTCATAAATCAGCCACTTCTCTAAATTACATCATTTTCCTGCTCTTTCCTGTTATTTATTCATTCACAAAATAGGGATTTGTCTTTGTAAATAAACGATTCGAATGAAAGCGATAAACAACGATGAATCACTCTTTCCATTCACGTTAAAGCTTGCGGAAAGTCAATATTTACTATTCAATTTGAAACAAAGATTTACTTTCAAACGAAAATTTCTTATTGTGAAAGGAAATTTTTTTGGAAAATGAAGAAATTTGGAAGTAAAGTTTTGTGTTTCAATTTTGGACTTGTTTCAAGCTTTTTAAGCTTTTTGAATATCTTGGAGAAAGGAATTGAAGCCCTGACTCTTTGCTTGGAAAACCACTGCACTAACCACTAGACCGTCAAGCCATCGTGACTAGATCTTTGAAAACGCCTTAAGACCATATAGCAAAAACATGTAAGCTAATTTTAGAGTGTTTACAATGCTCATAAGTAGCTAATTTTTTACATGATTCTCCTCGTCTTTCCAAACTCTACAAGATGTGCTATATCGCATCTTGAGATTCCACGGCGAGCTTAAACCCGTTCCTCGTGAGTTGGGCTTTTAATTAATCCAAAATTTCAGAGCCAAAGCTTAAAAACTGCGCTTCAACTTGTTTGCAAACACCGAATTCAATGTTTATTCAATTTTCTAGGCGCTGGGATCAAACCCGTGACCTGCCGACTAGGATACAAGCCTACTAACCACTGCCATGTGTTTCATGCTGATGTTAACTGTGTTAATTTGACACACTTTAAAAACAAGTGTTTTTTAGAATGCATTAAAAATAGCGCACTATAGAAAACACCGAATTTAAGGGATCTACGCAGTCTTAACGATGTGCAGCAATGACAAAAAGCGAGTCAAAGTACAACTCTCGTTGTTCCCAATTTCGACAGCCACCTACCGTCTCCCAGTGACAGTGCAAAACAAACATGAAATCTCACGGTCTTCCAAAAAAAAAAAAATTCCCCTTATCTCAAAACACATCACAGCCGATGACACAGACAAAGGACAAAAGAATTCAACAGAATTCAAAAGAATTCTACGTGAATTCTCTCTGTTTTATCAATATGTCGAGATTTTTGATAATTTTAGGCTTTTCTGGGCGTGGAATTTTATCCGACTCAAAAAATCGCCATTAAATTTTAGTATTTAAGAACAAACGGCCATTTTGAAAAGAATCAGATTTTTTTGAGCTGAAATTTTCTTTCGAAATCGATCTCTAACAAATTTTTTTTGTGAAGCAATGACAAGGACAATCGTTTTTTTTAGGTAAAAAGCTAGCTTTTTAAATGTTTATCAAAATTTTAGCCTTTTCTTTATTGCCATCTATTCAGCGGCTGTTCTCAATGAAGATTTTGAGGTGAGGGAAACGAGTTTCAAAGTTATTGGGTACAAAAATTGGGTTATTGGGTACAAAAATCATTCAAAACAAATTTCAAATCAAATCAAATCTGGATTCTGGTAGTTTAAAAAGGAATAGAAGCAGTATTACGGTTTTAGCAAACACGATAATCTGCTCAATTCATTCAGCAAACACGATAATCTGCTTTCATTTGAAATTTGATTTGATTTGAGATTTGATTTGATTTGAGATTTGATTTGATTTGAAATTTGTTTTGAAATTTGAAATTGAAATTTGAATCGTATTGGAACCGTATTGGAACCGTATTGGATCAAAATAGGAAACTTATTGGAACCGTATTGGAGCCGCATTGGAACCGTATTGGAACCGTATTGGAACCGTATTGGAACCGTATTGGAACCGTATTGGAACCGTATTGGAACCGTATTGGATCCGTGTTAGATCAGAAAAGGAGCCGTATTGGAACCGTGCTAGATCAGAATAGGAACCGTATTGGAACCGTGTTAGATCAGAAAAGGAGCCGTATTGGAACCGTGCTAGATCAGAATAGGAACCGTATTGGAACCGTGTTAGATCAAAATAGGAGCCGTATTGGAACCGTGTTAGATCAGAAAAGGAGCCGTATTGGAACCGTGCTAGATCAAAATAGGAGCCGTATTGGAACCGTGCTAGATCAGAATAGGAACCGTATTGGAACCGTATTAGATCAGAATAGGAACCGTATTGGAACCGTATTAGATCAGAATAGGAACCGTATTGGAACCGTATTGGAACCGTATTAGATCAGAATAGGAACCGTATTGGAACCGTATTAGATCAGAATAGGAGCCGTATTGGAACCGTATTGGAACCGTATTGGAACCGTATTAGATCAGAATAGGAACCGTATTGGAACCGTATTGGAACCGTATTAGAACCGTGTTAGATCAGAAAAGGAGCCGTATTGGAACCGTGCTAGATCAAAATAGGAGCCGTATTGGAACCGTATTGGAACTGTACCGTATTGGATCAAAATAGGAAACTTATTGGAACCGTATTAGATCAGAATAGGAACCGTATTGGAATATTGGAACCGTATTAGATCAAAATATAAACCATATTGGAACCATATTTCAAATTCAAATCAAATTTCATTGGAATTTGAAATTGAAATTTGATTTGAAAACCTTTTTTTTTATGAGACACCCTGTATAGTGATAGTGTATGGGTACAGGCAAATTCTCAATAAAATACAAGGGTTTATGGTGGCGTGGCTGGTGATAAAGTATGCAAATTTGAGTTGTATTGAGAATTATTATAAGACTATTATGATTATAAAATTATTATAAGATTATAAGATTATTTCGGTTCCAATACGGCTTTTATATAGTAGATTCTCAACTTGTCAAATTGATTTAGGAATTCGAAAATAAAAGATCATTCTAGATCATTTGTGAACGTTAAAAAACTTCTTTCAACTTCAATTTCAATTTCAAGTTAAACATTTACTCAAATTTCTAACGTTTCATTAGACAATTTGGTTTGAGAAAGATTGGATCATGATAAGCGAAGATATGCAAAGATCTACCGTAAATACTGTAATAGTACCCCACTCCCATAAGGACGGTTCGGAGCGTTGCGTAGTCTAGCTTTGGACGAGTTTTTCTCGACACTGGTTTATGCTACAATGCTCGCTTAGGTATCAAAAATAGCTGAAATTCAGGGCTATTTTTTGATACCAAAGACGCATTTTTTGAAAGTATGGGCGCTTTGAAAAAGAAGAAATACTAAAAAACTTTTGCGACTACGCGACTGTACGAGGGGGATGGGGTACTATTGCAGTATTTACGGTATCTAAGTCTAGTCTATCGAGCTTTTCATTTCACCGAATTTCAGATCGATGCCGTCATCTCGAGCACCGTGGTCCCTCCAATCCCGTCCTCACCACAATCCCCTCTTCAATCCTCGATTTCCCCGATCCCAATTCCACTCAACCCCCTGCGGAACAAAGCACCAAATCTTCTTCCACAATCTCTTTCTTTACTTGTCTCTCCGTGTCTTTCTTGTCTAGATTTATTCTATAGCTTTCATCTATTACAAATTTTTAGTTTCAAAAGTCCAATTTTTAACACTGCATAACATTTCTTTTAATGTACATGTTAGGTCCGAATCTGAGGAGACGTCCATCTCCGATCCGGACATCCGAATCTGAGGAGATTCATTCTCCTCTGAAACGGACGTCCGGCTCAGAGATGGACGTCCGACTCTTAATCGGACGTCCGTTTCAGAGGAGAATGAATCTCCTCAGATTCGGACGTCCATCTCCGATCCGGACGTCTCCTCAGATTCGGAAGTAACATATATTTTTTGTAAAACATCTTTATACAATATGTTCTTTATTTTGAATTTAAATTGTCAAAGATAAAATCTCAAAAATCAAAAAAAATCGAAAGTAGTTTAAAGGAATTGTTTTTTGAAGCTAAAAAGAGATCTCAAAAAAGAAAAAAAGAAAAAAAGAAAATAAAAGATCATTCTAGATCATTTGTGAACGTTAAAAAACTTCTTTCAACTTCTTCAAGTTAACTATAAAGGAACTATAAAGGAGCTATAAAGAAACTATCATAGAACTACCGTATTTCTTCGAATAGAAGACCGGGTAAAGAGTATCATCGCGTACTCCTGCCTAGCAGCCCTTTTTAAAATTTCTTTTCTGCATAAAAGCTTTCAATCAAGTGCTATAGAGCTGGAAAATGGCTCAAAAATCTGTTAGCTCATGTCGTATTTTTGAGTCATTTTCCAGCTCTATAGCACTTCATTGAAAGCTTTTATGCAGAAAAGAAATTTTAAAAAGGGCTGCTACGCAGGAGTACGCGATCATACTCTTTATCCGGTCTTCTATTCGAAGAAATACGGTATTCAATTTTTCATTTACAATTTACAAAAATATGTACAAAATTCAAAGTTTTAAAAGAGAAAATTTTTCCATTTTCATGAAGAGATTTTCCTCGACAATCGAGAAGATCCCATCTTTCGTTTCCAAAGCAATTCTTCTGCTTTTCGTTCCTGAAAGTTTACAAAATGTTTTGGAAATTTAACTAACGTATTTTCTCTAATAATAGTGCACCCCGGCGAGCCGAGTTGGTGACTATTTGACGGTTTTGCAAGCTTTTGCAGAAGCTCAACACTCGAATCCCCCACTAGATCTCATCGTCAGCTACATTTCCCGATCCCACATCGATAGGTTCTGATTAGCGGTTCTCGAGATTTCGAGCAATTTAGGCGACGCTCAGGGAGCACGACTATTAGAGAAAATACGGTATCCACATTTTGGAATTTAGGCGAAGCAGGGAAAACATGGTATGCAAAGATCTTGACACCCAGCCAAACGAGAAGAAGGCAATGCCCTGGGGGACATCATAAATGTTCGCAATCAACTAATGATGAGAAAATTTTCGATTCAATGAACACAATTTGAATCAACTTGAAACAATGCTCTTTTCTGGAAACTAAGCTCTTGCGCTACTTAGTTTCTTAGCTTCTTAGCTACTTAGCTCTTGCGAAAAGTTCGTGTTTTTGTTTTAAAGTCCCCTTGATATATTTTTTAAAAACTTTTTTGCAATAATAGTGCACCCCGGCGAGCCGAGTTTGTGACTATTTGACGGTTTCCAAGCTTTTGCAGAAGCTCAATACTCTAATCCCCCAAAGCTCAAGATAGTCAGACAGTCTTGAGGATGGCTTCTGACCTGGCTGACTGATCTTAGGGCCCGATTGGCAAATTTCTGATGATCAGCAATAACACCGTATTTTCCCTAATCGTAGTGCACCCCGGCGAGCCGAGTTGGTGAATATTTTACGGTTTCCAAGCTTTTGCAGAAGCTCAACTCTCTAATCCCCCACTAGATCTCATCGTCAGCTACATTTTCCGACCCCACATCGATAGGTGCTGATTAGCGGTTCTCGAGATTTCGAGGAATTTAGGCGACGCTCAGGGTGCACTACTATTACAGGGTGTCCCAAAATTATGGTTACGAAATAACGTAAAAGTTTTCGACTTTATTTACATAGCAAAAATCAGCTGATAAGGAAAAATTTATTCTAAACAATTTAATTAACAATAAAAACAACATTTAAATCTCAAAATGGCCTCCTTTAGCAGCTATGCATTTCCTTAATCGTTTTGGAAAGTCATTAATGGCCTTTTCAATGGTAGACAAAGGAATCTCGTTCCAAGCTTTGATCAAATCCTTTTTCAATGAGTCAATTGTTGTGTGAGCTTTTGCACAAGCTTTGCTTTCAAGAATGGACCAGATAGAATAGTCTAAGGGGTTTAGGTCAGGGCTGTTTGAAGGCCATTCGCCCGGACGTTGTTGGCTGATATCCACTGTGATCCAGTCAGGAAAGTTGTTTGAGATCCATTCTTGTGTAACAGCTGCTTTGTGAGATGGAGCTCCATCCTGTTGATAAGTCCAGCTATTGGCGCCAAAATGAGCTTGAGTCCAGGGCAAAACATTATTTTTGAGCATATTGATATAAGCGATTTTATTGATTTTGACTCCTGGTGGAATGAAGATCAAAGGAGTTTTTCCGCTGTGAGTTACTCCGGCCCATATCATAACTTGTTGCGGCTTTTGTTGTCTTGACACAATTCTATCATCAAGAGGTAGTGGATCCTTTGACCAAACACGATCGTTTTGATGGTTATGGGCTTGCTCAATATCAAACCACTTCTCGTCTGTGAAGAGAATTCCTTGATGGCGATTTGAGCCAAAGCGTCTCAGAAGCTGCTTGCACCGGGAAAATCGTTTTGCTTTCATAACGTCCGTCAATAAATGGCCTTTGACACCTTTTCTGGCTTTCATGCCGGCTGTTTTGAGCATACGATGAACAGAACTCTTGCCGATTCCGACAGATTGCGCGAGTTTTCGAACGGAGTTCTTGGACGAATTCGGATTTCTTTTGAGCCGTTTAAAAACTTTTTGTCGTTTTGCAGAAACATTGGCAGTCTTCTTTCGACCGCGTCCCGAGCGATCTTCATTTGATCCCGTTTCCTTGTATCGCTTCACTGCGCGGGACACATTCATTTTCCCCTCCTGCAAGATTCGCGAAATTTCAGCGTTGGTTTTTCCCCGTTGGTGGAGGGAAATTATAGCTGGTCGAAGGTCCTTCTTCGATTTCATACCTGAAAATAGATAAATTAGTACAATGAAACCAAAAAGTAAGAAAAAAAACCATTAAAATGAAAAAAAAGGCAAATAGAGTGCGCGTAACCATAATTTTGGGACACCCTGTAGAAAAAATACGGTATTAGGGTGATGGAAATGAAAGCAGCGCTCGCATATCTTTTCAAAAATAAAAAAGATCTCAAGCCTCAGTCAATAAGTGTTGTAGACTGTTCGAAAGCCCTGTATTTCCTCTACAAAATCGTGTAAAAAGATTTTGAATTGAATTGATTATTGAGGACTTGGGTGTTAAAAAGTAACCGCACGTCGAGTCTCAACCTGGGCACCTGCGCCTGCTGGCAACTATCGCTTGCTGCTGGCAACTATTTTTTTGCTTGAAGATCTTTCTGTATATTAAGGAAAAAGTTTTGAATTGAATTGATTATTGAGGACTTGGGTCACTTTAAGTTGAAAGATCAAAAATGACGATTTTCTGGAAAATGTGTTTCTGGTAATAGCTGTGTTCGGGTTTTTCGTTAAAAAATATCGCTAATTAAAGTTTCAAAATAACCTAAAAGAAAAGAACTCCTTTTTGTTTGTTCGTCTTATAGAGTTAAAGCTTTGTTTTTCGAAAGAGCCCCGTTTTAGGCGAAGAACGGCTGCTTTCAACTGTGAATTCTCGATAGAATCTAAGCTTATCATTTGATTTTTAGGATAAATATTGAATAATCTATTTCCTTAATATACAAAAAAATTTTCAAGCAAAAAAATTCGTGGAAGCGATAGTTGCCAGCAGGCGCAGGTGCCCAGGTTGAGACTCGACGTGCGGTTACTTTTTAACACCCAAGTCCTCAATAATCAATTCAATTCAAAATCTTTTTGTACTATTTTGTAGAAGAGATTCTGGGCTTTCGAACAGTCTACAAAACTTATTGGCTGATGCTTGAAATCTTTTTTATTTTTGAAAAGATATGCGAGCGTTGCTTTCATTTCCATCACCCAAATAGTTAGTCTTCTTTAAACACTAAGAAATTTAAAAATAGTTCTT